TATATATATATATATAATGCACTCTCTCTTGATTGAAAATATAAAATTTGTCATTGGAAACAAACACTGTTCGTTATTTCCCTTGAAATGGCAAGCTCATTTCATTCATCTTTGAGAAATAATCTGTCAAATACCCATGTCTAAATAATGTTATTGGTCTGCAGATAAGTAGTTCAAGTAAAAATGGCATTCTATGAAAAGAAGCAGTTATTCAGTTGCAATTGAAACCAGAGCCCAAGTGATTTTCTCAAGATAACCATCATATTTATTATTCAGCAAAAGCCCTTTATGCATACTTCCATGTCAACACACAGAGCATTAGCAAGGAGCAGGACTAAAGGGCTGGGAAAATGCTTTGGCTGGTGCTTAAATAAACCACAACCTTCTGAGGGTTTCCAGAGCTGTGGTGATTGGACCTCTGGATGCAGATCCAGCAGTTCTACCTTAGCCTCTATTACTAGTTAATAAGCCTAGGAATTCTGGTTCATAGAGTAATGGACTTCAACCTCTCATACCAGGCTGACTAGTCATGGAAGACTTTTATCTGGGTATGAATTGGCCATGGCTTTACCAAGACAGTGATCTAGAACTCTAGGCTAACAACTCAATGTGTGGTTTCCATTGGTGTACCTTCAGTAAACAACGTAGGTCAGAGGGTTGAATTAAAATATGCATCACCAGGCAATGGACAGAAAGGATTTAATTTTGGGCCCCAAATTAGACAATATTATAGATTCAAAAACAATGCTGAAAATCCAGTCAAGACAGCAAGATACGGTTGTAAGGAAACGTGAACAATGAAGTCAAAAGTCAAGGGAGGGGAGAATACGCATAAGACAAACAATTGAAGAACCAATGTGTGGTTAAGAAACAAAAGTTTCCAACAGCACAGGAATTCAGGCAATCCTCTCTGTGTGCTACCTGGCACGCATTTGAATATGGCGCCCTAAAGGAATTCTGCAGGACTGCAAAGAACAGCTAGACAGGAAAAAACAACAACAGAAAGGAAATAGAATTAAAAAAAAAAGTGGCCCTGAAATAAAGCCATAGTCAGATGACAATTTCAAAGACATGCAAATGCTATCTTGTTTTATATATACATACTGTTTTATATATGCATTGTGTCCTGTCCTGAGAGAATTTTCTGCCTCTCCCCTTCCCTTAACAATAAACTGCTGAAAGTGTAATGCTGTCTCTACTTCCTTTTTTTAAAGCCAGTTCACACAAACTTTACCCATCACATTCTACCGAAAACAGAATCATGCTAGGTAAGCCCATGCTAGCATGTGCTCTGCCACTGAGCTACAATGCCAACCCCTCCCAAAGTTTTAATACTGAACGGGAAAAGAAATGAAAATCACATGTCAACATCCTTGGTATCACTTTCCCCAGAACATTATGTAGCTGACATAACATTGGGATTTTCACCCTTTTATTGGGGGAGAGAGGGTAGCCCAAGTCCTACGCAGGCTATGAAACCAGGGTTACTCAGGCAAATTGGACTGGCATGAACAAATCACACAAACACAAGAAATACCTTTTTCAGGGTGTTTCAGGGCGGCACCTCTGACTCAGCTGTAAGCTCCCACAAGGAGGGCAAGAGAAAAACAAGGGAGGCAGGTGAGAGAGAGGGAGCACGCTCCCAAACCATGTTTTTATTGAGAAGAGCTGTTGGATAGAACATTCCATCCAAAAAGGTAAAAGGGTAGTATTACAAAAGAACAAGGAGGCAGCCCACTCCCATTGGGTAACCCCACTCCCAGAGTTTCACTTCCCTGCAGAGCAGAGGTGAGGTCCACCTGCTTTCCTGCAGACAAGCCAGTTCCACACCTCCATCTCTCAAAGCTAAGGGCACATGCTCAGCTCCTATGTGGCAGCTCCTGACAAGAGTGTATTGAATAGAATTAGTCATACAGTGTGTGGATCAAAGCAGAAGGCAGATAAATAACTAAAATTAGAAAATTCATCGTATTTGAGTAAGCTTACCAAGTTCTGGTGAATCCCTCTACAAAAGATCATTGTGGAAAGATCAGAATATCTAGATTCATCCAACATACTGATAATTTCTAGATAGAAAGAATGCACTACAAGCACTCCGGTGGCTCTGAGCAAAAGTTTGCTGCTGTACAACAGTTATGTGACACCTGGTAGCTCTGTGGTTTTTGTGGACATGGAAAATAAGCTACGAGATCAGAAAAGTAACACCACTAGAGTGAAAAAGTCAGAATGCATATGAACATAGAGTTAAAACTGAGATGCAAATAAACATAATCACACCACTACAAACCACATTTCTCATAACATGTCCCCAAATTTTATATTGGTAGGCTGAATACCTAAAATTGGAGAAAGTCTTCAGACTAAAGAAATAAAATCTTTTTATCATAAATATCAATAATTGAATCAATTGAAATGGGGAGTAGCTATAAATTATTAGATGCTTCATCAAATACAAATTACTACAACTAAACATAAAAAGTGAAGTTAGGAAGGCTCTTAATGTTTTACTGAATCAGTATGCTTTAATATAAAAATAAACAAGTTGGATGGAACTGGAGGATGTTATGTAAAGTGAAATAAGGTGCAGAAAGACAAATACTGTATGATCTCATTTACATGTGGAATTTGAAAAGCTGAACTCAGAGAAGTAGAGAATAGAGGAGGGGGAAGGAAAAAGGATTGGGAGAGGGAGAGATGTTATTCAAAGGGTATAAAGTTTCAGTTAGTCTAAGAAATAAGTTTTAATGATCTGTTGTGCTGCATAGTGACCACAGTTAGTAATAATGAATTGTATATTTCAAAATTCCTAAAATAATAGTTTTAATGTTCTCATCACACACAAGATAAGTTGGTGAGGTGATGGATATGTCAATTAAGCTTGACTTCATCTCCCAATATATACATATGTAGTTCAAAACATCACATTGTACTTCATAAATATTCACAATCACACGATTAAAAATAAATTTTAAATAAAAAATAAGCCTTGACGTTGTATTTGCAAAGAACATTTCCACAATACATCAGGTGTTTAAAAATAATTCTTATGTTTGTTTGAAATACGCACTCTTCAGTCATCTTTATAAACTTTCTTTTATAACCTACAAAAAATATATATAAATTTTTGGTGTCTGAATTCTTAACTTTCTGTGTTTTGTAAAGCATAACACCCTGAACTCAATGAGTCAGAAACCACTAAGAAAGCAAACAGAAACAACATAACCAGTACTACCAAACCTGTATCATAGTTATGATCTATGGTGGCAAAATTTTGTGTTTGGTAAACTATGAATGGATTAAAGACATAATGGTACAGTGGCGACAGCGGCGGCGACAGGATGAAAACAAGTTCGACGCCTTGAAAGATGATGACAGTGGGGACCACGATCAGAATGAAGAAAACAGCACACAGAAAGAGGGTGAGAAGGAAAAAACAGAGCGAGACAAGAGCCAGAGCAGTAGCAAGAAGTAGAAGGCTGTTGTTCCTGGACGGCAGAGCATCCCCTGCGGTACAACTGTACATTCTGGTACTCCAGGAGGACCCCAGGCCGTCCCACCAGCTCTCAGAGCTATGAACAGAATATCAAGCAGACTGGCCTCTGTGGAGCAGTTCTGGAGGTTTTATAGCCACATGGTACGTCCCGGGGACCTGACAGGCCACAGTGACTTCCATCTCTTCAAAGAAGGAATTAAACCCATGTGGGAGGATGATGCAAATAAAAAAGGTGGCAAGTGGATTATCCGGCTGTGGAAGGGCTTGGCCTCTCTTTGCTGGGAGAATCTCATCCTGGCCATGTTGGGGGAACAGTTCATGGTTGGGGAGGAGATCTGTGGGGCTGTGGTTTCTGTCCGCTTTCAAGAGGACATTATTTCCATATGGAATAAGACAGCCAGCGACCAAGCAACCACAGCCCAAATCTGGGATATGCTTCCGCACGTGCTTACCCTACCTCCCAACACCATTATGGAATTCGAAACTCACACCGACAGCATCAAGGACAATTCAAGCTTTCGAAATACAAAAATCACATTGTGAAAGTACGCAAGCTGGCAATAATCCTTTTCTGTATGTGTGTGTTTGTCTGAAATGGATGTAAGGCCTCTGCCAGTCCTTCTGTCTACCCGCTGAAGGGTCCTCAGTGAGCCATGTGCTCCCCTTTTGCACTCATTCCTGGAGGACAGATTCCGCTAGACACCCTCCAGCATTGCTGACTTTATAAAGCAGAGATTTGGAAAACGTGACTTTGTAATAGACATTGTTTTTAGGGACTTCTGGGAGGGAGGAGTGCAGCCTTTCATTTTGCTGTGTGCTGTCCAGATGCCTTCCAGGCCCTCTGTTGAGCTCCTCTCCTGCTCTGCGAAGGGCTTTGTGACCACGTGGACAGACTGGAGCTGTGGATGAGCATTATCAGTAATATGAATGCCTGTGCATCCAGGAACAGCTTCTGCAGAGTTCCAGAGTAACTGAATGCCTCTACCAGCTCTGCCACCAAGTTATTGGGACCATTTTGTTTCATCCTCTCCCCCAGGCCACCACTCTCTGAAAATGTGTTATTGATGTGATGACTGCCCAGGGTTTTTTTGTCCTCTCTCCTGCCTTAGGCCCTCCAGTTTCCCTCCTATGGGACTCTCTCCTCCTTAGGCACTGCTGCACTTAGAATTATAACCTCGTAAGAACGCTGGTTCTACTGGCATGGCTTAGAGAGTAACTTAAGCTTGAGCAGAACCCAGTTTGAGGGAACTAGATGATAATTAGATCCCAAGCGTGGATTTGGCGCTGAGGGCAGTGATGGAAACATTTTCCCCTGTGAGCAGGGTGTGTGTGGTGCCAGGCCTGTTTCTATGGGTTCTTGTATGCCCCTCACTGAGGAAGGGAAGTGACAGCTGGCTATTGCCAGGTATTAACAATTAGTGTGTATATTCTACAACCCTGGAGAAAAGGTGACCTTGCTGAATGATTTTTTTTTTTTTTTTTTGCATGGCTATGCCTGTCTGTGGTGGTTGGAAAACCTCCTTTCAGTCCTCATCACTGGGAGACATGTGCTAACACATGATGCCCACACAGAACTGGTGAAGGCCACTGCAGGTATGCTTCTAAAACAACCAGTCCCTCATCAGAGAAGGTATGTGGGGTGACCCCAGAAGGACCGAAGCCAGGGAGGTTAAAAGAGCACCTAGGATTCAAGTTAAGTAATGAGCAGGAGTCTTCCCACAGCCTCCGAGTAGCACTGTCTTACTTGGCTCTTGTGGAGCAGAGATCACAGTACCTTAAATTAAGGCCTCTCCTTAAAATGTATCCTTGAAGCCTGAGGGATCCTTGGCCAGCTGGTCTTAGGAATTATATGAGAGTAACAGGCATTCCCGTATTGTATTTATCTTACTCTCTTCCAACTTTCCAACTCCTGACCCCCTCAAATCACCACTGGGAATGCTTCCTGAAAACAGAGGATTACAAGGGCCAAAAGGAAGGTGCTTCCATTACAAATGTTAGATCCAAGAAGAAGAAGATCTCACTGTGATTGAAACTCCAGGAATATGAACAATGCATTCTGCTGTACAGACGATTGTGAAGGGCTCAGGCAAAGCCAGGAGCAACATTGGCTTTAGTGGGGAACAAACGCTGCCTCTGGAGATTTGAATAGACCCCAGGAGGTCTTCACTTTTACCTAAACTCAGATTGTCATGTAAATTCCAAAGAGAGCAGACATTTGGATTTGCCTGCCTTTGGGTATCTACTTGATTGTTGTGTGCATGTGGGTGTGTGAGGACCTGTAGCAACCTAGCATGCTGGTCATGTTAGCCCTGGAAGACCTTTATTCCCTCCAGAACAGTTCATGCTGTGACCATAAACCATAACCATGTCACATCTTGGCAAATCAGTGTTTTATGAGTGGGAGTTGGTCAGGCCTAGTGCTTAGGTATATTCTCCATAGTTTAGCCGTTTTTTTTTTAAAGATTTTTTTTAATCTCCTTCGTTTTCTAGAGCTGCTCATATTTCCCCTTCCTTTGGTCATTGTAGTATTTGACAGTTATTTTTTCCCCATCAAAAATATGCTGACCTTTTGTTGGTTAGAACAGGCTCATCCCTGTTAGGCAGCATCTTGCCCCAGCGTTCTCTCAGATATTCTGCCTAACAGCATAAGTGATAGCTTGAATAGTCAGTTTATCCAAACAACCCTTTTTTTTTTTCCAAACTAGCTTAGAGGTCTCTCCACAGGCCTCTGATATGCCAAAATGTGACAAGGTTATGGTTTACAGTCACGGCGTCACCTGTTCTGGAGGGAATAAAGGTCTGCCAGGGCTAACATGACCAGCATGCTAGGTTGCCACTGGAGAAAGGTGAGTCACAGTTGGGGCAGCTCTGTCCAACCCCTTTTCTGGGGCTTCTCTTTGAAATTGGCTCTTACTCCTCTCCGGTGCCCTTCTCTTTGTACCCTCCTGTTCATATGTGTGTGTTTTCCCTGTGACACTGGCAGTGGCAATGATTTTCCAGAGAGAAGCTCATGGCCCACGGAGCTCCAAGAGTGAACTTCCAAATACTTGCCAGTGAGGAAGGAGCAGAGGCTGTGACAGGGGATGTGGTGTTGCACTTTCAGAGCAATTGTCTGCCGCGGTAATAAATGGAAATACCAGCAAAAAAAAAAAAAGGCAAAATGGTAAACATTTGCATTCTTTTTATATGATAAATATAAAATATGCTATGAGGGCTGGGATTGTGGCTCAGTGGTAGAGCACTAGCCTAGCACGGGTGTGACCCGGGTTCAATTCTCAGCACCACATAAAAATAAAAAGGCAGTGTGTTGTGTCCATCTAAAAAAAAAAGATCCTCTCTCTCTCTCTCTCTCTCTCTCTCTCTCTCT